AATTGTCAGCATGGTGTAAATATAAAACAAATCACTTAAATATCTTTACAGAAAAGATGCATGTAATATATCATATGTTCAGAAATAATAAAAAAGAAAAATGTAAAAAAAAAAGTCTCAAAAGCCAAGATAATTCTAAAATTATAACACCGGTAGACTATTATTAACAATAACCATTTTGTAAAAACAGAGAATATAAGCTTTCAGTCTTGTTTTGTTTTGTTTAGGTTACTTCCACATTGCATGACATATAATACTGAATGGTTTCTGCAATGTTAAAACCTTTCACAGGGAACCTTCTGGGATCAAATTAAGCTGCAAGGTTTTGCTTATCTGGTTCATGAAAAACGAACTAACAAACAAACAAACCAAACTACTGAACATTTCAGACTCTATTTAGTAAATGAGTTTTGAGATTTTAAATCACTATGCATTTGTTTTAATTCAACTGTTTTAATTATTTTTGAGACAATGTAATAAGGACGCTGACACTAACACGGCATTGTTGATTATGTTATTAGAACAGCAGCCTTCAGAATTTCCCATTTAGATGAACTGCTTTTAAATTATTCAATATCCTCCATGCTAGCAATGCTCCTGAGGCCATGTGTATTTAATGGTCTTCAATTAGCCAGGCACACACCAGACTATTGTGTGTGTGTGTGTGTGTGTGTATGTGTGTGTGTGTGTGTGTGTGCGCGTTTTTGTGACAAATGAGGACATAAATTTGTATAATGACAAGGGTATGACATAGGTATTACAAGGAGAAGGTGACTTTTCAGGACATTACCCCATGTCCCCACTTTTCAAAACACTTATAAATCACACAGAATGGAGTGTATTGAAAATCTGAAATAGCAGAAAGTTTCCTGTGAGGGGTAGGTTAAGGGGTGTAGGGCAATAGAATATACGGTCTGTACAGTAGAAAAACCATTACACCTATGGGATGTCCCCACTTTTCACAAAAACAAACCTGTGTGTGTGTGTCTGTGTGTGTGAGAGAGAGTCTTTGGAGGACAGAATTACTGACACAGCTTGGCATGTACGTTAAGTTGGTCCAGGTCTTTTGACCTTTCGCTGATGCTTTGACAGTTCTCAGCAGCTACACATAACTTTCTTTTGACTGCTTGTTTTTCCCGGACTTGTGAGTAGCTGCATCAGCCAGTCTTTGGCATAGGAACTTTTTTTTACTGACTTTGTCAGTGGTGTCATGAAGCGCGGCAGCTATGGAAATGTGGATTTCTTTAGAAGAGACCCATGACAGGAAGTAAGTTTGCAGTTTAAAAAGGAAAGTCCACACAAAAATGAAAAACATTTTTTATTTTATTTTTTTAAGAAAAATGTAACAATCGAGTTTAATCTCAATTGATGGATGGAACCATGCACAGCGTGTTATCCACAACCCACTGCACTGTAGAGAAATGTTAAATTCAGAGCTACAAACACGAATAAAAAGAAGTACAAATATACTATACATTCATGAGGCTGACAGTGAAGTAGAGACACCTTGAAAGGGGTTTGAATTATTGATAATCAATACCTAACTAAATATTTATTTAACATTATATTTAATCTGCAACAACATTCTGAACTTTTATAAGGATATGGATAAGACGATAGCAAAACAGGTACGTTTGGACACTATTATGCAAAAAAAACATGAGCAGAGCTTTCCGCATGAAAACCCATGACTGGCAGATCAGTGTGCTACTTGTTTTCTCTCCAATATGGCAGGAATAATTATTTGAGTAGTGATTTTAATTTAATTAAATCAAATATGGAATGTGTATATGGGGTTTTAACTGTGACAGCATGATTGACAGGCCGGTTTACACAGACAGAATGTACATAACTGTTCGACAAAGCGCAAGTTTATGATAGTGTGTCCCAAAGTTTGCCTACTCTCCTGCTACTTTTTCTTCTCAAAAAGAAATTAGTAGTCGAATTGGGGCACAGCATTTCAAAATCTTCCTAATCAAACACACCTGATTCATTTCTTCAGATCTTTAGTAGGAGACCTGTTTCAAGACCTGAAATGTATGGGTCAGGTAAGGTTGACATTCATAATGTACTTGCCAATATGCCACCAGCAACAGGGGTCGGAAATAATGGAATATACTGTAGAGTATTTTAGTGAACTATTTCTGCGTTGTACCTGTGCTGTAGATGGAATATAATGTGTAAAGGTGCCACAGCTTTGAGAAACGAAAGCCAGATCAATAGGGGAGATGAAGGACTTATTTGCCATGCTGCCCTTGTGCTTCTACTGTTCTACTGTGTATGTCTGGCAGCAGACTATAAAATCAAGGGTAGCACTGCTGCAAAGCCTGCAAGCACCTTGGAACTTAATGTATTTTCACCTTTTAATTTAAGATAAGCCACAGGAGCGGGCAACCGTGGGATGCTGGCGTGGGCAATGTATCTAATTTATCCTCGTTGTTGATCGTGGATCAGTCAAAGGTGCTGAGACTTCAATTCAGCTCTATCTTTTTTCTTGAATCAAAGTATGCAAGGTTGTGTATGTGTGTGAGAGAGTTTTATTAATCCTTTAAAATGTATTCAGCATATACACAGAAGTTGCCACTAGGAACATAGCAATAATGGCTTTGCAAATGCTAGCAGAAAAAAATACAGCCTACTCTGAATGCAATCGCCTACTGCAGATAACTTTTGTTAAATAAATGACTTTGTGTTTGTTGAGTTCAATTGCTGCTTTGCAAAGGGATTGCATTTCTGTTTTGGGCTCTTTGCAATTAGATCGAAGTCCACTCCTAATTCTCTGTGCACTTAGTGGAACTCAAATGCAGCTTGCATATAAATGTTCATATTAATCTCCCTCTCAAAATTCTACAAGTGAAAACGCTTTCAAGCCTCCTATCAGAGGCATGTTTGCCCCTAGCAGCTATAGATACAAATACATATCCATAACAATTCTGCAGAAGTTAACAGAGAAAATGTGACTGCAGGCTGCCATTTGGCAGGCTATCAGAGCAAAGAATCTCCAGACAGTTTAATCAAATTCTTGCAGCACTGCTCTGCACAGTAAGTTCCAGCAAACACTTGTCACAAACAGGTTGCATTCTCATACATTGACAAGTCTAGGGATGTATCCGATACAGTTTCCTACATTCTCACACACTGAAGACAGTTCTTACCAAATACAGTATATTGTTAGACATAGAAATGACACACAACACAATACACTGCTTTTCTTCAAACAAACAAATAAATAAATACATATTGGTGATTAGCTATAGTGTCCTGTATTTTAATATAGTGAGGTTATAAGGTCAAGTTTTAAATATAATGGTTCATATTTATTATTTTAATCATGGATTTAAGGGCATTTTTAAGACAAAATATAAAGTTACAATATAGATTATAAAAATAACAAAAACAAATAAAAAATTTATTTTATGTATTTTTATATGTTAGATTATAATTATACTTAATCCAAGTACTAAATAATCATTTTAACTTCAAAGGGACTTCTTAGGCTATAAATACCTAAGAATGTGTCAGGCATGTTTTAGCAATTCAAATATTATTTCTGAATTTGAATCAAGTTACCAAACAGAAAGCATAATTTTTACCTAGAAAAATAAATGTTTGTCAGACTTGGAATGATTGCTTGACAGTGCCTAGGCTGTAAGTTTTCATAGGCCTAATAGACAGACAGACAGACAGACAAAACAATCTATCGTATTGTTCTGAATATAAGACAACCCTGATTATAAGACGACTCCCCCTTTTTCAAGATGTACTTTTTAGAAAAGGGCTTTTTGAAGACCAAATTTTGTCTTGACCTCATTATTTAAAAAAAAATAATATTAATAATAATAATAAAATCTTACCCCTGGTTATTATTTTTATATGTTAGATTATAATTATACTTAATCCAAGTACTAAATAATCATTTTAACTTCAAAGGGACTTCTTAGGCTATAAATACCTAAGAATGTGTCAGGCATGTTTTAGCAATTCAAATATTATTTCTGAATTTGAATCAAGTTACCAAACAGAAAGCATAATTTTTACCTAGAAAAATAAATGTTTGTCAGACTTGGAATGATTGCTTGACAGTGCCTAGGCTGTAAGTTTTCATAGGCCTAATAGACAGACAGACAGACAGACAAAACAATCTATCGTATTGTTCTGAATATAAGACAACCCTGATTATAAGACGACTCCCCCTTTTTCAAGATGTACTTTTTAGAAAAGGGCTTTTTGAAGACCAAATTTTGTCTTGACCTCATTATTTAAAAAAAAAATATATTAATAATAATAATAAAATCTTACCCCTGGTTATTAGAATGGACATCATACCTGCATGCAAATCCTTCCTACCTACTATCAGTTCTGTAATGTATTGTTACTTTTTGATAATTTAATAATTTATAACTACATCATTGCATGCTTGTACTGTCTTGTTAGTTAACTTTCATTTTATGGAAAAGGTTCTCAGGATGCTTTTACCTGTTAAATTTAGCGTAATTATAATCTAGTAAATTCCATGTCCTGCAATTTTAATTAATCTCCCATTTCAACTTCCTATGGGGCACAGCCAATAAAAGTCCAGCTTATGAAGGAACCGATTATTAAATTAACTTACTCATTTGCTTACAATGTACCTCCGTGACCCATGTGATGCACAGGTGGAATGTATCCATCTACAAATCAACAGAGAAGCAGAGGGGAAGCAGAGGGCAAAGATACAAAAAAAAAAAAAATCCTACAAATTTTCTAATTTTTTTTTTCTAAAAAACTTCCTACAAATATCTGTACTTGTACTGAGTATCTAAAAATGTTATTCCTACGCACATTTATTTTGATTTTTCAAATCGAAAAAACAAATGTCCACATCAGTGGCAGGCAGCTGAGTAGCACCTTTCATATTTGACTTTCATAACTGGCGCAGGTGACAGAGGTTGTATTCTTATGAAGTTCTCCACTTTGCTAATTTGCTTGTTCTCATCCTCCTTTCCCTCTTCTTTCTGCAGGCGTTCAGAACTCAGAGTGATATGGCTGGCGTTCTCCGCAAGCTCGCAGCATGCATCCCCTGCGTGTGGATCTTCCTCATGCTTTTCGACCCCAGCTTGCAAACCGGGTAGGATGACTCATCAACCCTCCCCATCTAGTCAAACGGTCTACCTTTTCTCTTTTCCCCATGTTGCAGGCTCTAGGGATGCATTGCAGCTAATACATTCATTAATAAGGTTGTATTACTGTGCAGGGGCTTTTACGATCTGCAAAATGCCATTGGAGCCAACCGTAGCTGGCTGTAAATCGTTCGCACAAACTGCCATGAATTGGATTTTCGTTGGTGGAGCGGGCTTGGTTACAAGTGTGACTCAATAAACCTGGAAAGAAACTCACGCTGGAAGAACCTGAGGGATTCCGAGACGAGTTTGCAATCAAGTGCCAGAGCTAGTGGTCTTCTAAAAACTAAATACAGCATTAAATCATAAAATAGGATCCCTTTCATGACACACGTCTTTCCTGAACCATTCCAAGTGTGTCTCAAGCTTGTATTCATAAAGGCCCCAAGCAAAATCAAAGAATGAATTGGTATGATGTCATTTCGAACAAAATCTGGGTAAAGCGAAGTTCATTTAGAGTTGGCCAAATGAGGATTTTTGTTCAGCCCGTTGGGTTGAGACACAGGGCCAGAGCCACGGAGGGGTGTGATTGGGCGTTGCTCCCTCAACCAGGCTGTCCTTCCCCCTTAGTCAAGATGATTGTGAAAAGGGATTTTAATGATAAAAAAAAATCACAATTGCATTGGCTTTCTAGCATTAAGGTAGGGTAGGTGATTTCGGAGAGGCTAGCAATAGCAAGCTAGCTTTGAAAGCATAAGATCCCACCCTCCCTGCAAATCACTCTCCAAAGCCACGCCTCTTCAAAAACACGTGAATGTGCATAGGAAGACCAGAGGTTAACCAGCGACACTATAAGAGACGGTGTTGGTTGAATGCAACGCTGTCAGATTACCTCAAGTCTCATTCACTGGTGAAAAAAACATTACAATACAAAGCGCATAATATTACAATAATATCGGCTTCCATCCATGCTCGGTCTGCAATACCGAGGGTATTGCGGAGGTATGCAAATACATACGTTGACAGGTAGGTAGGACAGCCTATCGTAGCCATCGGACCGAGGGATATGATTAGACGAACATTTTATGGTCTATACCTTGCACAGACGATATAATACATATAAATACATTTAGACCACTTAACTTAGTGATTGCTATCAGGATGTGAAGCAACTTTAAACCTGCATAACAAAAAATGTTTTTGAACCAAATTACCTACCCTGCTTTTAATATTAGGCTACTATATCAATATTTAAGTTAAAGGGTTTTTTTTTTCATATAAGAGAGCTAGATAATTGGGTGTAATTAGTCGATTATTTCACTTAATTGTTTTGTCACGAGTTGCAGTTCTGGCTGTTGTAACTTGCCATAAAACTGTGCATCTGTTATAATGATTGTTATGTTAGTGAAGTGGTTGCAATGAGCATGTGTTTTATAGTAAAGTAGTGGTGGTATCATGGTAACTTGTCTGTAATTTTTTATCTAAGACATACTGTATTATATCTGGCACTCTAAAGAGTGTTTAAATAAAGGATGTAGAGTCAAATTTTCTAATACGTTGGCATTGGCAGTTTTCCTTTAGAAAGTAATATTATTCAGTACTCTGACATCTGTTGACTGGTAGCTTTTAATTCCATAGTTGTAGTAAAGACAGGTTTGTTTATAAATATGTGGGCCACTTCACATATAGCTGAAGATAATTTGTATTATGTCATCACCCTCTTTCTAAACTTCAAAGCCCATTTTTTAGTGCTGCATTCGCTATCGTAATACACCAGTAAAAACATGAACACGCTGGAGAGCCTCTCCATGTTACGCATGTAACCATGGTTCCCCGAAGGGAATGAGACGCTGCGTCGAAACGCTTTGGGAACGCCTTCAGCGTGACCACGCTCTGAATCACATGTGTAATCAGTCCAATGGATGGGCGAGACGTCACGGGCGGGGTGACGTAACGACCAGGAAGCTTAAAAGCACGTGCGGTGGAACCTTACATGCGTAACCTGGAGACGTTCCCCTTCAGGAACTTCTGCTGCGTCGAAACGCTTTGGGAACGAGTATGTCCACGCCGCCAGAATTACAAATCCCTGCCTAGTTTGGAAGAGCATAGCTAGGGCGAGAGAACAGAAGAGCCTGAAGTTACTCGCATATCTAGGCCATAGAACCTGATGAACGTGAGGGGCATGGACCAACCCGCAGCGTTGCAGATGTCCTGCATAGGCACACCTGCTAAAAAGGCCTTGGAGGCCGCCACACTTCTAGTCGAGTGAGCCTTGACCCCCAATAGCGAGGGGAGATCAGAGGACTCATAAGCAATGGAAATGGCATCTACAGTCCACCGGCTGAGGGTCTGCTTAGTAGCAGGAAGACCTCTCTTAGCTTCTGCTGGTCGGCCTCCCGGAAGGGAGGAGGACAGAAGGCCTGGAGTATGACAGGCCGTGGTGTAGAGGAGGGATCTTTAGGGAAATACCCCGCTTGAGGTTAGAGAAACACTTTGGCCAAAAAGGGCGCAAAGTCAAGATAGGAAGGGGCCACTGAGAGAGCCTGCAGATCCCCAACTCTCTTGAGAGAAGATATCGCCTAAAGGAAGGAGTCTTTACAGTGAGATGGCGATCAGAAATCTCCTCAATAGGCTCGAATCGAGGCTTACAAAGAGCTTCTAGCACCACAGCCAGGTCCCTCAGGGGGACACAAGATTGTACCGGAGGCCTCAGCCTCAGCGCACCTCGGAGGAAACGTGTAACCAGTGGGTGTCTGCCCACTGACTGTCCACCAATAGGGGTGCGGTAGGATGCAATGGCCGCCACGTAGACCTTTAGGGTGGAGTGGGTCAACCCTGCAGAGAGACGGGCCTGCAGGAACTCCAGAACTGTACCAACCGGGCAGCTGTCTCCGCACCAAGAAGTGAAAAGCTTCCACTTCAGGGCATACAGTTTCCTCATAGGGGGAGCTCTGGATTGGACGATGGTCTCAACAACCTCGCTTGAGAGACCGGAAGCTACGAGTTGTGCCACCTCAGGGGCCACACCCACAGCTTCGGGCGGGGGTGTGCCCTCCGCCTGTGAGAAGATATCCCTCCTGACGGGAATCTCCCATGGAGAGCCGTCGAGGAGAGAAATCAGGTCCGAGAACCATACTTGGACCGGCCATCCACCTGAGCCTGGCCAAAAGCTCTCCATATCTGCTTCACCACCTTGGGGTGAAGTCTCCATTCCCCGGGCCTCAGCCCCTGCCTCGACAGGATGTCTGCTCCCATATTGAGATGCCCAGGAATGTGAACTGCTCTCAGCGAGAGGAGTTTGCCCTGGGAGAACACAAGGATCTGGTGCGCCAGCCTGTATAGGGGGCGCGAACGCAGACCTCCTTGGTGGTTAATATAAGAGACCACCGCTGTGTTGTCGGTGCGCACCAACACATGGTGATCTCTTAGGTCCGGGAGAAAGTGTTTCAAAGCTAGAAACACGTCAATTGATGTGCCACTGAGATGGCGACCACTCCACAGACCGCGGGCCGAGCGGCCACTCATGACTGCTCCCCAACCAGTGAGGGACGCATCTGTCGCTAGCGTTACGCGGCGACAACGAGCTCCCAGCACCGGGCCCTGAGACAAGAACCAAGGATTCCTCAACATGTCTAAGGCACGAAGGCAGTGCCGTGTGACCTTGAGCATGCAAAGCGGGTTTCCCCTCGGGGAAAACCCCTTGGTCTTGAGCCACCACTGTAGGGGTCTCATGTACAGCAGGCCAAAAGGTATCACGTTGGACGCAGCTGCCATCAGACCCAGCCATCTCTGAAACTGCTTGACAGTGAGTGACTAGCCTTCTCTCACTCTCTTGACTGCCGTGAGGATCGACTCGATCCGAGCAGGAGACAAACATGCCTGCATCGTGGTCGAATCCCATACCACGCCCAGATAAGTGGTCCTCTGTAATGGAGAAAGCACACTTTCCTTGGCGTTTAGTCTTAATCCCAACTCTTTCATGTGAGCGATAACGACATCTCGATGCCGAACCGCTATCTGCTCTGAATGAGCTAATATGAACCAATCGTCAATGTAGTTGAGTATGTGGATGCCCTGGAGTCGCAGAGGAGCCAGAGCAGCATCCACACACTTGGTGAAAGTGTGGGGTGAGAGTGCAAGGCAGAAAGGAAAAACCCGATATTGGTAAGCTTTGCCCCTGAAAGCAAACCTCAGGAACTTCCTGTGACTGGGAAGGATGGAGACATGGA